GGACAGCTGAAGAGAAATAGGACAAGGCACAGGCAGAAGAAAATTGAGGAAGAAAATTAAATGCAAGGATGTTAAATACCTACAATCCGTCTTCTTTTCATTTCATGCTAGAAGGAGTAAAGAAAGAGAGAGAGCGAGAGGCAGAGAGGAAGAGAGAGCGAGAGTTGAGTTGCAGAATACGTGACAAGTTTTGAAAATTATTTAGGTACACAAAACTACTTCTTTTTATCATATTTTCTTTATGAATATTTTCTATATATTTACAGCTTTATATTATTAGTTTTATTATCATGTTTAGAGAAAATTTTACCGTTTGGGTATGGTGTAAGTATAGAGTTACCGTATAAATTTAAAGATACATTATTAAGAAATTTTAATCGGTTTATATTTGTTCAATGACTATTTTGAGAATTTTAAATTGAGATTTTAGTTGAAAAACTGGTTATTTAGACACATAGTATGTTTTTACCGATTAAATTTAAGTTAAATAATTTATTTGAGTTATTTAATATATTATTGAGGTTTTAATCGGTTTAAATCTTGAAAAAGTAAAGATATATTTTTAAAATAATTTTTGAAGGCTTGAAAAATTGTAAATTGAGAATTTTGTGAAATTAAATAAAGTTACAGTTTATTTATAATTCAAAGAAGTTGTTTGGTTTGAGAAAATTTTTTAAAGGAGACTACAATAAATAATTAAGATTTAATATAAAATATTTAGATTTTGGGTAATAAAAATATATTTACTTAATTTTTTAAATTTAAATAGCTTTATATGTAAATTATATTTTTCAAAATAATATTATATCTATTATAAATGGTTGGATTTGGGAGAGTTAATATATCTATGTAATTTTGGTTTAGAGGGTAGTATTAGAATTTTAGAGTAGTTTTGAAGTAATTTTAAGTTTTATATTAATAAATATTTATGTGCAATTTAGTAGACTCTTGAGAATTTTGGAGTAATCTTTGTGTAATTATTTGTAAGCTAAAGAGTACTAGGCAACTCTTAAAATTCTTTCTTGTACATGTGAATTATGTATGATTATATTGTGGATTTATTAATTTTTATATCATATTGAAATATAATATAATATTATGATTTTTTTGAAAATATATGTTTTGGTATGTTACCTGATTTTATTAAGATTTATTGCTAGTAATTATGATCAATATTTAAATATATTAATAGCTATGAAATTATCATGAGTTGCTGTTAAATGATACATGAATTTTATTGCTCTCTTATTTTTAATAATATATTTGAGAACATATTATGATATACTATTATTTGCATATGACATGCATTGTTGGGCTAAGGATAGAAAGAGATTTGTATGGATATAAATTACCACGTGGTATGCCATCACTCGGTGCACAGTGGATGGCACTTGTCAAGGCCCCTTCTTCCGTGTTTTTCTTTGGTCGGGAATTTATTGGAGCTATGGAACATGTGACACCTCCCTGTTCGCAAAGGAGGAGAGCCATAGTCTGAGCTTGAACTCTATATCTTTGGCCGGATATATCTCTAGTATTCGGTGAGCTTGGAATAATTCAGTAAAATAGATTAGTTCTTATCAGACTATGCGTTAGCCTATGGCTCCAGTCAGCGGTATAAGGGTGGACAGTGATATAAGAGAGGCAGCTATTGTATTATTTTTTTGGATATATTGGAAAAAATGATATTTGTATATTGTTAAATCAAAACTGAAATTGAGTTGAATGTATCAAATCCGTGGTTTTCATTTATATATATACATATATAAACGGATTTTTGTTTATCATATATGATTTGCTTGTATAGGTTAAAATTTCAGTAATTATTGAGACGTTTGATCTCATGCCTTATCTTAACATTTTTTTCAGGCGAAGGATCTAGTAGGAATCAAGGGAAGACGCCAATGGAGTGAGCCGTGAAGGTTTCTGTGCTCCTCGAGCACATGCTATGTTATATTTTTAATTGCTATGACTATAAGACTTTAATAGTTTATTTTGTTGTTATATCAAAAATATTTTGAAATTATGACTTGTTTAGAATGTTAGTAATGTACGGGTTTTTATATGAAATTTTATTGGGTATATGGATATAATTATGTGAAGTGTTATAGTATTTTTATAATCAACTAACTTATCTAATTTCTTTAATCTAATCAAATTAGTTAAATATGTTTTATATTAAGGATTGAAAGAGTATAAAATAAAATAAAGGAGAAAAAAATCCCACGACAACATGCAACAACTATGATCCTTTGTCAAAATCCGCCTGAGTAGGGGTGTTCAATTTGTCCCGTCCCGGTCGTCCCGTCTCGGTTTCGGTGAGTTTGGGACGGGACGGGACGGGACAAAAAAAAATTCAGGACGGGACAAGTACGGGACGGGACGGGACAGTGACCGGGACGGGACAGGACGCGGGACGGGGTTGTCCCGTCCGGTCCCGGGATATTTTTTTTTTAAAAAATTATTTATTAATAATTATTATTAGATTATTCAATTTACTTATTAATAATAATTATTATTATTATAGTGATTTTTAACTCTTAAGTTGTAATATTATCTGAACAATATCTCCTTCCTCAATAAAATAATTCATAAAGCCATTATATAGTGTTTATTTTATCGTATTTTTTTTTTACAGTATTGTTTTTACACCTTTTTTATACTATATAATTGAGTTTTCTACATAATATTTTTTATAATGTTTTTATCTTTAAAAGCCTAACAAAAAATAAGCATTATAACATAAAAAAATTTCATATAAAAAATTATAGTATTTTTTTAAAAAAAAAAGGGGAGGGGAACGGGACGGGACGGGACACGGGACTAAAACCCTGTCCCGTCCCTGTTCACTAGGACAGGACCGGGACGGGCATGTCCCGGTCCCGTCCCGTCCCGTGAACACCCCTACGCCTGAGTAATACAAGATAGACGGTGATCAAAAGTGCAAAAAATGCCATTCATCAAATGAGAAGATTTAGTTAAAAGATCACCGAGGACTAAGGAGAAACTCTAAGCAAAGCTTAATACAATTTTTAATCTCTCAAATTTATTCTCATTTTAATTTTGATTCCTTAAGTTTCAAACCATATGTTTTGATCCCTCAAGTTTTTGTTATTTAAAACATTAATCCCTATAATTTAATAAAAAATTGAATTATTTTACCCTCTTAGAGACCAAAACCAAATTAAAAACAAAGTTGAGGGATCAAAAATTATACTAATATAAACCTGCCAGTCTCTATGAACAAATAACCTGGTCTCATCAATAAGATCTCTAAATGGGTGATTGCTGTCAATTTTAACTATCTCTCTCTCTCTAGAGTCTCTCTCTCTCTATATATATATATATATCAATATCATTAACATCAACGTCAAGCATAACATCAACAAGCCACAAGCGTTGAACGGCCTTTTCTGTGTTTTTGGGTGACAACTTGTCTTCAACACCTGACTTCAATCTGAATGGGCCAGATAGGCCCAATTGAAAATAGGCCTCTAGTTTAATTACCCATTTGCAAATACCGAACCTTTTGTTTTTGGATTTATGCTCGCTTTTTTGTTTTTTGACCAGCACATTTATGCTGGCTTTTGGGATTCTGATCGATTGTTGCCTCTGTGGAACCATTAAATTAAAATTAATTTAATTCATGTCATTTTTATATTTAAAATATATAAATTTGAGAAAATTAATCTAAGATTTAGTTTACTTTTAAATTTCGTAAATCGAACTGCTCTCAAGCTGAATTTTTAGCTGAAGAAGTACCTTTAGGTAATGAAAAGCATTTTGTAAAAAAGAAAATAAAAAATTGAACTAAAGAAAAGAATACCTTTTATCTAAATGAAACTTTTTATATATTTTGAAAACAAATAATATCAGTAATTTCAATAAAAATCATATGCAGATTTTTTTTAAATAAAATTTGGTATAAATAATAGGATTTACTATATCTTGCTTTATATAGTATACATATTTTACGGAAGTATAAGGTTTTGTCCAAAAGTTTGATGATAAAGTAACACGCATTTGTGTACGTTATGTTATATTGGTAAAAAAAATTTAATATTATCTTAAAATATTAATCTTGTCAGCTAAAGTGACAATTAAAAATATGTTGTTCCTCGTTGACTTAACCATTATACCGACGTACTAAAATGAAGTATAAAAATTGCTAAATTACGTGGTCTAATCAAATAAACATAGTTGCTTTACGATATTTTCCTTTTTCTTTATTTTAATTCCTTTTAATATGATAAAGCAAGCACATCCTTGATAACCAAAAAAGTTGATAAAGTTTTTAATTTAGAACCTTATGGTTGACATGTATCTGATCCCAGTTGTTATCAATTCATTGATGTGATGATATAATTGGCGCCTGTGATGATATTGAGAGCTTTAACAAAAATTGATAGGCTCCTAATATTTAAAATAAAAAGGTATTACCTCCGGTCCTAATTATAAGACCCAGTTGACTTATTTGAGGAGATTAAGGAAGTAAGTTAAGTTAGTTATTTGTAATAAATAAGTGTTGTCATTCCTAAAATATCATTGCTAATTAAGTGTATTGGCTAGAACTATCATTATTAGAAGGACTATCTTGGGAAAAAATGCATAAATATGAGAGACAAAATAGATTGGGGTCTTATAATTAGGACCAAATAAAAAGTCAAACAGGGTTTTATATTAAGGACCGGAGGTAGTACTAATTTTCTATTAATGGACACATGCTTCTGGCTAAAAAGATCACCCACTTAACAAATACAATATTAATTGCAAAGCTAGCTCATGGACCCAATAATAAACAAAACCAAAGATCTGACATAGACAATAAAATTATTTGAATTCAGAAGAGGGGGAAAAAAGAAGTGGTAATTTATTTTGCATGAGGATCATGAAATATGATTAACCTCTCTACGTATAACTACTAGAAAATATGGCTTGTAAGATCAAACAAATTAATAGGCTTTTGATGGGATATAGGTTATGGAAGGAGGGAGATAAGGGAGCTAGGGTTTGTGAGAATTGATATTGATGGCAGTGTTACCAGATCCTCCATTTGTTGTTCCCATTCCAAACCCAAATCCCATTCCCATTCCAAATCCCATTCCTATTCCATTTCTGTTGTTGTTGATATTTTCTCCTTTGCCTTCTCCATTTCCTCCCCCAATTCCATAGCCACTTCCTCCCCCGCTACCATATCCTCCTCCATTTTCACCACCTCCTCCTCCGCTGCCGCCTCCTCCTCCTCCTCCCATCCCGCTCATACCCATACCAGCACCAAAGCCACTACCATGACCATATCCTCCACCACTATTGCTCCTACCACCACCGCCTTCACCTCCTCCTCCGCCTCCTCCTCCTCCCATGCCCCCCATTCCCCCACCTGCTCCGAAACCACTTCCATAACCTTCCCCTCCTCCACTAGAGCCACCTCCACCTCCTCCTCCACCACCCCCACCTCCTCCATTGTTGCTTACACCAAAACCTGCACCAAATCCACTACCTTCACCATGTCCTCCACCATTGCCCTTACCTCCACCACCACCTCCACCACTGCCTCCTCCACCTCCTCCACCTTCATTTCCCATGCTAGCTCCTACACCAAAACCACTACCGTGACCTGAGCCTCCAGCACTTCCAATGTTGCTTCCTCCCTCTCCTCCTTCTCCACCACCACCACCACCTGCAGCACCACCTCCCCCAACACCAGCACCTGCTCCAAATCCACTACCATGACCAGATCCTCCGGTAGTACCACTTCCACCACCTTCTCCACCTCCTCCTCCACCACCACCTCCGCTTTCACTTACTCCAACTCCAGCTCCAAATCCTTCTCCATGGCCAGACCCACTACTTCCACCCTCTCCTCCTCCACCACCACCACCACCACCTCCTCCTCCTCCTCCTCCAATACTACCTCCACTTGCACCATATCCCTCACCACGTCCAAAGCCCCCACCAACTCCATTGCCACCGCCACCACCCTCTCCTCCACCACCACCATTGCCAGCTGCTTCATTATCTCTCACACCTTTTCCAAAGAAACTCCCACAGCCCCTCCAACTTCTATAAGAACAATAATCACCATTATTGTCACCACCAAACCTCCATCGGTTTGGATCAACAAAGCCATTATCATGAATATCCACGTCCTTCCCTTGAACAATACCACTCAAAGCGCAAAAGGTACTCCATGAAAGCAAAGCCACGAATGTGAGCTTAGCAGTAGTACTAGCACCCATAATTCTCTCTATATGAAACTCGAACTTCGTGTTTGTAATGATTAATGACCCCTCTTCTTGGCCCTATATATAGAGATCCATGTCCATTAAAATAATAGAGCATAATATTATATTACTGCATTTCAAAGGGAAGAGTTATGGGCAAAAGATTATATGTGGAAGACATCTAAGTCAAGAAATGTCCAATTAGTGTCCCCTTTGGTCAACCATAGCCGACTGGAAATATTAAAGAACTGTAAGCGAAGTTAATGCTTCTGATGTATAATCAAATCCAAAATTTTTAGTATTGTTGCTTATATATTAATAAAATTTAGCTATAGAGCTAGAAAACATGGTTGAATTAGAACTAGTGGAGTAGGTGACTCTATCATCTCGATATGCGCGAAGAAATTCGAGAGCATGTATAATTTATACTATTGTGAATAGTATAAAGGAAATGATACATGTGACGTTCACTTCAGTTTTATTCTTCAGTATGTTCCCACTAATCCAAAATAAATTGATGTATAAGTCGATATTAAATTTATCATGGTCCTTAGCTAAGATATATTATTCTCCGTTCTTAATATAAGAGCTACTTAACTAATTTAAATATATTAAAAATATTAATTAAGTAAGTTATTTGTAACAAATATAAGTTAGTTTATCTAAAGTATCATTTTTAATCATGACTAATTACAGACCAAAACTCCTTGTATGTGTAATTAATAAGGATACTTTGAAAAATGAACTATAAATTTAGAAGACGAAATGTATAGAAGTCTTATATTTGTAACCAGATTCAAACCTTAAGTAGCTCTTATCTCAGTGCTGAAGGCAGAAACATAGAAAAATACAGGAATTTGTCACTCCAGAAAAACAAGAAATATTTGTAAATAATTGGAGAAAATGACATATTTATATCATGTAGATCCCTAAAATTATATATATATTTTAGAAAATAACATGATATCCTCTTTTCTTCCTTGGATGCTATATTGACCAATATTAATAAGAGGCAAAGTGACTATATTGGAAAACACCCATTCGGAAGCCATGTGAGAACTAACATGGAAAGAGACAAAAGTAAAGCGTTTTGGCCACTTAGGGATATATATTAGTCGTATTTGTTAAATTGTTTGGTTTGGTGGGGGCTAAGACACTTGAAGTGTACGCGTGGCAAAGTAGATAGAAGGCAAATATCCTTCTTCTTCTTCTTCTTATTCTCCTAAAGTTTCATCATTCAGATACATACAAGAGTTTGATACAGCTTGGCTTGCTGGTTTTTATTGGATCCTTGATGGACCACTCTAACCATTAGCACTACATTTTTAGATCTTTTCATTATATAATTTCATATCTGTCAGTCATATGCTCTTAACAAATCACATTGCAATTCCTCGTTAAAGGGAGCATAATAATTACCTGCAGCTTTATTTATTAATCATCTATATACATATAATAATTAAGCTTTAATTAAACCCTTCACTTAGTTTGAAGCATATGGTTTAGTGGGTTTACTTCCATATCTTTGCAATTTTCTATTAGTTGATCAGTGTTGAAAGTAAACGCATCAAAGTCAATCATAGTAACAATTAATACATGAATAAATTAAATCATGTATTTATTATTCCTGTTGTTCTATTAAAAATTACTCCCTCCGGTCCCTGGAATCAAGAAAAGGAGGGTATGTATGTCATTAGATACGTCTGAAAATGAAATAAATTTTCAATATTATCCATATTTAAATAAACAATTTTCAGTTTTAAATTATGTTCTCTTTCATTTTTAATAACTTTAAATAAGGGTAAAATTAGAAAAAATTTAATATTTCATCAAGCGACTTATAATAAGGATAATCCATCTCTTATCTAAAGGTGCCTCGTAATAAAAAACGAAGAGAGGGTACAAACTTGTTTTTTATGTTTAAATTGCACATAATTTTTCTTAAAAGTAGAAAATATGTTTTGTTAGAATTACACACAGATAGTATGTCTTCTTTTGTTTGATAAAGATAGTATGTCTTCTCGTTTCAAAGCTACACAAACTTCCTTGGAAAATGAAGGATAAGTTAAAAAAAAAAAAAAACTCTTTTGATTTTATTTATAAGTCACTTACCATGTTTCATAAAGATTAAAAAAATTTTAAATTTTATTAATTTTATCAGATTAAAACTCAACAAATTTTTATATTTGACGAGAACAAAATCAACATCATTATAAATAAACAGTAAAATTGTATATTTATATAAAAAATTTCTCCTTATATCCTATATAAATAAGACTAATTTTTTTTTTCGTTTTGCTTTATAAATAGGACCTATATTTCAATATATTTTTTATGAACTTTTTCCTGCCAACGATTTTTGATGAAATTATAATGGTAAGACTTATATCCTATTGTTAATGAGATGATAATTAGTGATTTCTACAACTTCTCTAATTAATATCTGCCACGTATCAGAGGTGCCACAAACAACGAGGCATTATTAAAGCCATATCGAATAGAAATTAAAACTACTTCAAAGAGACAAAGACAGTGCCCTTGTCTTCAGGAAAAGATCAATTGTTAGACATCAACAATCTCCCTCTCCAAGATTTTTCTTATTACGGTAATCACTTTACAAGATTTTATTCTTCTTTATTGAATCCTCTCTCTCTCTCTATAGATTTTCATCAACTTGTTTAGGTGTGGATCTATAAAATTAAATATACACACACACACACACAACTTAACTACTCCCACTTTGCCACTTGTACAACAATTTAGTAAAATTATCTTTCAGATGTAACTCAACAAACCACAAATGTCTATAATAATCCCAAAAGTGGAATACAGTCACCAATGCCTATATATACACACACAAGCATACACATATGTAGGTATAGGTTATCTCAATAATATTAGTGTTGATTGAACTGATTATTCTTCAAATCTTAAGACATTATAAAATTTGCAAATATTTTTCAGAGAGATTTATTTTATTTTATTTTATTTTTTAACAAATAGAGATACACAAAAATCTCTTTTTTCCAGGAGGTTTATAAAAATCGATAACATATATTCCTCTGATCTTATTTATAAGGCACTTTCAACATGTTTCACACATATCAAAGAAAACTTTAAACTGCATTAACTATTTATTAAAATATATCAACTTTTCAATTTTTCCTCTATTTAATATATGCTCATTTTAAAAAGAATAACTATCTATACTATAATAAATGAAGGAAAATATGGTACATTCATGGTAAAAATTTAATGAAGCGACTTATAAATATGACTAAAAAAAACTTTCTCTCTCTGGCCTATAAATAGGATCAGAGGAGTATTATGCATTATTTTTTTGGCCAATCATATATTATACATTATTAATTGATACGCCGAATCAACATTTAATACTTGATATATTTAGTCCGTCCGCATCTCCAAAACAAAAAAAAAAAGTGAGTGAAAAGAATGAATTTATAAATTTTAGATCTCGAATTTTTAATATTTGAGATGAATTTTTTTTATAAGAAAAAAGACACTAAAATACCATCAAAAGTACTAAACAACAAATAAGGGTAGGTGGATTTTAAAATCCCAAATCAGACCCTAGGTACTATTTTAGAATTTTAAAATATTGTGAAATGACAACATTGTCTTTACTCTTTGTGATACTTTTATATAGCTATTAACTATTTTAATTTAACTATTAACTATTTTTGTTTTTAAAGTTCCAGTGAATACTTTTATATAGTTATTAATTACACAAGAGTAGTAAATAACTAAACAAAAAGTAGTCATTAGATCTCCAACAACACTTAATGTATTTTTTGAATTTTTGAAACAAAAGTAGTCAATAGCAAAACTAGAGTAGTCATCAAAATTTTAAAAATAAAAGTAGTCAATCACAATACTAGAGTAGTTAGTAATTAAACAAGAGTAATCATCAGAATTTTAAAAATAAATGTAGTCTATAACTAAAAAAGAATAGTCAATACATAAGAAAGAGTAGTCATCGCAGTTCCGGCGATGGGTCACCGGAATTCTCGTGACATGTTACCGAAGCTTCGAGGTCTGGCCACTGGCAAGGTTGCCGGTGCCAGAACTTCAATGATCGAAAGTGCTGAGGTAGCAGTATTTAAAAAAAATAGTTAAAAAAATAGTAAAGGATATCTGTGTAATTTTACAAGATTTGAAAATTCTAAATAGTACCTGAGGTCTGAATTGGGGTTTTGAAATTTACTTATTCTTATTTGTCTTTTAATATTTTTTTAGGGTATTTTAGTCTCTTTTTTTCTTTTTTCTATCGCAAATTTTCATATGTTTTTTCTTTCCTTCCTTCCTTCATGGCCCCCCCGGGCAGGAGGCTTTGCTATGACGTGATTAAAAGCCCTTGTTGAAGATTGGCCCAATAAAAGTACAGGCCCTTTCGGATGATCCCAGGATTGTCACCGAGCAAATCAAAGTAGTGACGTACAAAGCAAACTAATCAAACAGCAAAACAATATTATATTTACAACCATCAGAAAGTTGGGTCTAGAAAACACTAGTCCCTCACAATATGCTAAATCAAAAATCGAATCCTATTGAGAGAAGTGTTCATATTTAATGTCTTATAGTACCTCAGATGCGTAACAAAAAACACACACACACATATTATAGCTACGCTCATCTATGCCATCCTGATCCTTAGTACTTCCTTTAGTTCATAATACAAGAAGTTGGTTTAAAAAAAAAAAAATTGGCCAGTTGACAAAATAATTAATGATAGTTTTTCACTTTTAACTCTTGTAACAAGGAAGAGAGAGGAGAGAGGAGAGATGAGAGAATTTTTTTTTTGTAATCATATTCTTTAATAGGGGTAAAGTAGGTCATTTCTATTAATTTGGAAAAAAAATAATGACTTAACTAACATTCCTTGATTTATGAAAAAAACTTAACTAACTTTTACGTTATGGACTAGAGAGAGTATAAGTTAATGGAAAAATGACAAAAAAAGAAGTGAAAATTGCAATATTTCAATTCAGACATTT